CGGAGGGGCTGCAGTGGGGGGACTGGAAAAGGAGTGGGTGGAGCTCGCAGAGTTAGAGTTTTGGGCTTAATTTTCATTTAGAATGAGCCACTTTGATGTTTTGTAACAATTTCCTTAGTCCACAAAACAAAATAAGCCAGTCCGGTGATATTTGTGGAAGACATATAAAGTTCTTCTAAAGAATTCCCATATAATGCATGTATTTTATAGTTCAACTACTTGGAACCATCGTAGAGTATTTTTTGTGAAGCATACACTATTGAGGGTCTTTTTTTGTTCATTTGGAATTTGCCATCTCTAAAATTGATTTTTGTTAGAAAAAAAGTAAAATGTAAAATTGTAACTCCAAATTCTTTAAACATTATTTAATTTAATTGCTTAAACATTATTTAATTTGGAATCATTGGAAGTAAGAGTTTTAAGGTTATTTCATCTTAAAATTACATTTTCTGTGTATGTATATCTTTCCATCTTTTCAGAGAATTATGAGAGCTCTCTGAAATCTTCAAAGCTTTTAAAAATATACTGACTGACAAAATAAAAGTTAAATTATTAAAATGCTGTCTGAAAATGATCCATTTTTAATCAAAATCTCTTAAAATTTATACATTATGTATTAAGCTTTCTGCTTGCTTAAAAATTTTTCAAAGCATAGGGCTCATTGGCTGTACACTTTTCTTTTTAAATTCTCATAAAATGTACATAAGATAAAATTTATAAGTTTAACTATTTTGTACATGTTTTTAATCTTCAAAGTTGATTGTGGCCATTACTGCTCTTTCTTAGTCTGTTGCATTCAGTGTGTTTATTAGTGTGACGTAGAATTTGATCTTCTGAGCCTTCTGACTGAGTGATCAAGTTTATTTCTTAAATTAAATCCTTGGTCTAATTTAAGAACATCAAGGTTTACAAGATTTTTCTTTACTAATTTCATGGTATCTCAACATGAATCTTTAGAAAGGATTTGTGTCAAGGTGTTGGTCCCTGAGGTGTTTTTGTAGCAGTAGATGGATAGTCAGTATTCAGGGGCTTCAGGATCCTTGTATCATGAACACACATTATGGTCTTCATGTCCTGCACCAACTTAAGATGCTGTTTTAATTTTCATATGTTAATCGTTTGGTAAGGCCAGAGTTCTCATGTCTTTAATAACAGTACATTGCATCAAATAATGGTGACATTGATAAATTATTGTTCTAATGGCATACATTACGCTAGAATCTGATTTCCCCCCAATTGTTTTTAGCCATATTTGCCAGATCATGGTTGTTGTCATAATGCAATTTCTTTGTCAAAGACTCAAGGCAGCTTGTTTGGGGACTAGGCCAGACTCTGGCATCCAGATATCCCCTGTGGAAGCACAGCTCCCGTTTTCTGGAGCCCTTTTCTGAACATGGGCCACCTTTCCTCTCCCTTTCGTAGTTAGCATATTTTAAAGCACTTCCCTTTCGGGTGTGCCAGCAGTGAGAATACGGAAGCACGAGCCCCGTGTGATAAAATAATTCAAAGATGAAGACTTACAGATAGTGTGCTCAAGTAATTGTCGTTAGGGAACTACATTCCTTCAGGTCTTTAGCCTTTTATGATGACCTTAGGTTCTTCTGCCCACCNGTTACATTGTCGTTAGGGAACTACAATCCTTCAGGTCTTTAGCCTTTTATGATGACCTTAGGTTCTTCTGCCCACCCCCACGAAGGTCTTTCTTAAACCTGCCTCCATCAGTATCTGAAACTATTGTGCAATTTTTCTTCAACATTTTCATGTCTCTCTCATTACACTAGTAAAATTGAAGAGACCATGATTTTGTGAATGTTATTTTAACTCCATTTCCAAGCCTAGGACAGTAGCTAAGAAGACGGTAGTGCTCCAAAAAAAAAAAAAATCTATTTAACAAATGAATATGTTCACTTCAGGGAGTCTCTACTTCATGGCAGCTTTTAAAATCAGCCTAAAATCAACCCTTTGCAGTTGCCATCGTGTTTCTCTTTGTTCCTTGATGTGCTTGAAGAAAACACAAGTGGATGTCAATGTTTTTGAGAGTCAGAACATAATTTAAAGAAAGAAACAGATACGAAGAGCTCATCTATTTTCTTAGTTAAGTGAAAACGGTTTTGCTGTTGTACACAGGTCAATATTGCGTGTGCTGCTGTGCGCTTTAAATCTGACTGCTGGCGGCTGTGTCTCAGTGTGGCGTGTGATGTTCTCCAGTGCTGTGTCCCCTCTCTGTCGAAGGTGATCACCTTGTGTAGTTCTCAGGGCACAGCCTCATGGGATGGCAGGACCTGCTTGGAGACGTAACACGCATTCCTCCCCCGCCCCCACCCTGTTCCCTGTGCGCCTTGATAACTCAGAGCGCCTCCCTCCATCTCCGGGGCAGAAAGATCTGGTTCATGTCAACTGTCATTTCAAGGAGCAGGGCTTCCATCAATCACTTTAGAAAGTCCGGCCTATTACACAGAACACCAGCCGTGTCATTAATGAACAGGATTAACGGCATGGAGTTAGGGGTTAGGTTCTGATTCCACCACCCAACAGCTGTGCCAGCTGATCCTCTGTGTCTGCCTTTCTCCTGTAAACCAGGGATGCGAACACCTCGGTCACCATGTTGTGGCCAGAAGGAAAGTTGCTGCTAGACTCTGAGCACGGTGCTCAGCAAAGCAGAGGTCAGTAGGGGCCTCATCTGTGTCAGCTGTTGTTAATTCTTCGATGAGCTTTCAGCTTCATTTTCTTACCTCATTTTTAGATTAACTAATTTTCATGTTAGTTAGAATTTAGCCTAAACCAAATGAAGTCGGCGTCTAAATCTACCAGGAATATTAGCAAATAGTAGCGATTTGCACTTGCATCACGCTGTACTTGGCTTCTGTGACCAGCAGTNGTGTTAGCCAGAATTTAGCCTAAACCAAATGAAGTCAGCGTCTAAATCTACCAGGAATATTAGCAAATAGTAGCGATTTGCACTTGCATCACGCTGTACTTGGCTTCTGTGACCAGCAGTGTCCAAGTGAGAAACACCCGCCTTCCTAAGAGCTTTCTCAGACCGAAGCTTCGTTCCTGTTCACACCAGGAGAGTGTCCCATTTCAGGTGGCTGTCCTCACTCCCAGGGCCCAGTTCACAGGGAGCCTCCTGGGTGCCCTTTGAGTTGAGGCTGGAAAGTGCCCTGTGCTGGGGCTCCCATAAGATGCTACTGGTTCGAACATAGTTCAGTGGAACAGAGCGAGGTCGGGGGCCATGGAACCAGGGGGGCAGCTGTCCGTCTCTGGAAGCAGCTCTGACTGGGGAGGGGTCAGGGCAGGGCCTGATGAAAAGGGCAGCTCCTTGTTGACCCAAGAGGGGCGGTCACTGGAATGATGCCAGTGACACTGGATTGAAGGACAGTTGTGATCAGATAGGGCAGGAGGGACACACTACTTCAATCTCAGTGGAAGGAAAGACAGAGTTTTGTATCTGCTAAAGGCGAACATTTCATTGTGCTGGTCTTCGGTTGCAGCTGGGGACCAGCATCCATGTGAGTATGTGGTTAAAGGAAAGAATAAATAAATGAATGACTTTGAGTTACTGTCTGTCCTACAGGTAGGCTTTGGAGGGCAGCTGCAGATCCTCTTGCAGATTAAATTTTGTCATGTTTGTCATTTCACAGTAGAATTTTTTTTAAAAAATGTGACGTGTATCTGTATGCTTGCGTGTGTTACAGAAAGGCTTGGTTGTTTCTAAGCAGCCTCTAGGTGAGAGGCATTGGGTTATACCAGAAAGTGTGGATCCATTGTTGCTTAGTTTAACTACCGGTGGTTCTGTGTAACACACACCAATTCTGTGGACTTCTTTTGAAACTCATCACCCTGAGAAGGGATATGAGATCTTTTCTTTAAAAGTAAAGTATCAGTGAAATAATTCAATCTTTGCAATGAGCAGAGTGAAATAATTCAGCCTTTGCAATGAGCAGTGCAGTGCTCATTGATTAACATGGCTCATTAATAAATTGATTCTCATAGCCCAGCGGAGTGGCTCATTCCGTTGAGCATTGTCTTGCGCACCATACAGAAGGCGACCGATCACCGTTTCTCTCTCACATGGATGTTTCTCCCTCTTTCTTTCTCTCCCTCCTCCCCTCCCCCTCTTTCCCTCTCCCTCAGCATGTCCTCTGTGAGGATTACAAACATTAGTAAGTCGGTTCCTATAAAATCTTTTTCACAAATTCTTAAAATTAGATTTCATGGGGTCTCAAGTATTAAAAGGGACACCGTCAGGCCTGCTGCTGGGGACTGCGCTTGTTGCTGAGCCCTGGGTGTGCTCTGGGCCAGGAGGGAAGGCCGGTCCGCTGGGCGCGGCGGGGACCCATCTGAGTGGGAGGAGGAGGGCACTGCTCACCTGTACCCCATTTTTCTGACACGGAGCTTTCCTCTGTCCGCAGGCGAGCGCCCCTACCAGTGCCCTTACTGTGAGAAAGGCTTCAGCAAGAATGACGGGCTGAAGGTGCACATTCGGACTCACACGCGGGTAAGACGGCGCCCGGCTCGCTCCTGTGCGGGTGGAAACCACCCTTGCTTAAAAGCGCTTAGCTTTACGTGAGAAAACGGCCTGGATCTGACATTACATGTTTGCATTTNAGGCTTCAGCAAGAATGATGGGCTGAAGGTGCACATTCGGACTCACACGCGGGTAAGACGGCGCCCGGCTCGCTCCTGTGCGGGTGGAAACCACCCTTGCTTAAAAGCGCTTAGCTTTACGTGAGAAAACGGCCTGGATCTGACATTACATGTTTGCATTTATGATGGACACTGGGGGGTACAGCTTTTCAAAGACAAAACTAAGAAACAGAAATCCACACCCAAAGGGTCCCCATTCTTGGAACTGTGACTCCGTTTTTAAAGAGTCGTAGGAGTTATAAGTGACAGACTTCCGAATAAATAGGGGAAACATTTTAATACTAAAAAATATGAAGATGCTGCCTTGCTGAGCATCTGCTAGGGCCACCCCGGAGTAGCGCCTGTTGGCAGGTGGCCATTCATGCACATGAACAAGCCTGTTTGCAAGAGAGAAACTTAGGTTGTTGGGAGAGGGGGGGCAAGGACCCCTCTCTGCTTGTCAGGCACCCCTGGTGTGCTGTCTGTCTCCTCCCCAGGCACCCTCTGTCCCTCACACCTCTGCCTGGACTGTTGTCACCTGTCACAGGTGGCTTTTCTGACACAGCCTCTGCCGAATATCCAGCTTAGTTCTCAGCTCACTGTTCAGTCTGGGACACAAGTAGACACTGTGTGTGAACGCCCACCTGACAGTTGGGGGTTGTTTCCAGGAGCTCTCCTGGATTCTTGTTTTCCCTGTGGCCTCTTTCTCGCAGTTCCTTTGAAGTCTGGCCTTTATAAAGTGCTCATGGCCTGTCTATGAATGACCTACTTTTCATACTTTTTCAGATTTTAAGAACTGGCCTGATCCCCTAAGAGCAATTCGAATTCAGGCCACTCCTGGCTTTCACATCTTACCTCACCTGTAACATAAAACTTTAGTGAAAACACATCATAATCATAACATCCTTTCCAGTGTAATAATCCTCCAGCCTCCCGCTGCAGCGTCGCGGCGGGAAGGTGCCCTCTGAGGCCCCTGAGGGCAGCCTCCTGTTCTTGTGACAGACGAGAGGCGAGCTCTGTGCGTTAAAGCAGGTCCTCCCGTGTTTGGCTTCCAGTTCGTAGTGTGGTGCTCTTCATATATGACTGTGAGGAACTGGAAGACTTCCTACCTGTAAAATTACCCCTTCAACAATAAAATGACTTAAATACTGTATTCAAAGTACGTATTTCACAGCGGGCCTTATTAAAGGGCGTGAGCTAGTGTTAGTGTAGTTTACTCATTTTTTATGTGTCCAGTTCTCACAGATGTGCCAATAATGTGTTTCAAAGAAGCCAACACACAGGCAAAGGGGCCTGATTCCTCTTATCAAAACCAGCGATGTCCCAGCCCCTGGGCGTGTGGGCGCCGTTCCGTTTCCTGCGGTGACTGAGGGCAGACAGGGTTATACCACAGAGGCGCTGTTCGTCCCTGCGGGAAAAAATACCTCTTGGGTTTTCCCCAAGAAAGTGGGGTGTACTTTGCATTCAACTAATTTGTTTTTTACTTTTAAATAAAAGTTTATGAATGACAATAATAAAGATAGTTAAAATAAATAGAGACCACTGACCACATGCCAGGTCCTATTTTAGACCTTCACACTCTTAATTTGTGTGAGCCTCACAGTAGTTCACTGACGCATTTCACAGCGCATTGCAACCACTGCGAGGCAGGTGTTACGATCCCTTTGTAAAAGTAAGAAACTGAGGCACAGGCCAGTTAGGGGCAGAGCTGAGATCGGAACCCAGGCCGACGGGCTGCAGAGACCAGCCCCTTACCTACGACACATTTACCTTTGATTCAGTTAAATATTCTCCTGTCCCACAGACTCTGATCTGCTCTCCTATATATTTTCAAACTAAACAAACGGCAGCAGTAACCCCAAATTTATAAATCTCATATTCATTTGCAAGCGGCCCGACCTTGGCTCCTGGAGCACCCGGGGCCGAGGGCGGGAGGGAGCACAGGACTTCAGACGGAGTCCACGCGTTAGTGCCGAGCAGCATCGAGGTGCAGCTTTCATCACACAAGCCTTGCGGGTTTTGCCTGCAACTCTTCTTTAATTTTTCTCTTTCATGCGTTATTTTTATTTGATCACAGACAGCTCTGGTTTTGAACCTGTTTGCTAAGCACTGGATAAGTACAGGCATCCTTGCATATTAGTGCAGCTTTTTAAAAGTGAATTAAGATTATCAGGTGATGCAATCAAATTAATATCAAGAACCTCCAAAGGAGACAGAGGAACAATCTCTACCAGCTCATATTTTCCCAATATTATCTGGGTTTTAAAAGACTCAATTCAGAAAAGATCCCATTACTCTGGGACTGCCACCTGCCAGTTTCAGTTTCTACTCTCATTGCGATCAGGACCTAGATAGCCCCCGTTCCAGACATTTGTTTGGTCCTGTTTTGAAAGCTAATTTTTAATTCCATGACAACAGTCACAAAAGCCATTTTGCTCGGCGCGTCACATCTTCAAGAAATTTTGCTGGTCCGCAAACACCTTCTACCCCAGATTCACCGTCTGTGGCCTGGCCCGGACCCCTCCAGGAAGGCGCGCACAGCCCTCTCCTTCTGGGCCTGCTTGTGGGCGCAGCGAGGGCCCCGAGTGGGGGAGGCAGTCAGTCCTGCTCAAGTCCTGCCGGGCTAAACGGTCACTTGGGCTTCTACGGAGAGCCCGGGGTTGGCAACGCATTCATTTCCTTCTGTGTATTTTCTTCGTCTCTGGTTTTCGGCATGTGACTCTGCCCTTTCCTTTGCATTTACCTATGTGGTCTGTGGTTTGTCATCAGTTAATAACAACAGTTTCACTTGCACCCACTTTGGTGGCCTCCTTGCTCTGACGAAGGCAAGGCAGCCCTCGGGTCCTTCTTTGCGACGTTCAGTTCACCTGCTTGTCTGGTGACCTCAGTCCACACCACGCCTGGCGGCATTAGGTTCAAGGCAGTGACATACTGTCCAGCCTAGGGTTGTCGGCTCACATCTGCCACTTAATGGCTGTAGATAAATTTTCTGCTTGGGAGCAGATAAAATAGAAATTCTTACCCTCAGTGTCCAGGTAGCACCTCCCTTCCGTGAGGGAGGCCCCTGGGCAGGCCCTGTGTGGTCCAGGCCCCTGTGGTCCAGGCTGTGGGGGCGGTTCCTCTAAAGGGCTGGGTCTCCTGGGTGTAGGTGGCCCGGCGGCTGGGGACAGGGACCTTGGTCATAAGCGTTTCTGATCTCTCTCCAGGCTCCTCCCGTCCCACGCATGTCCCAGGCTCTTCTCGCTGCCCGGGTGATGGAGGACCCAGCTTTCTGGGGGGAGTAGAGCCTCTCTCAAGGGCAGGCTTCCCACCTTGGACTCTGTGGCTTGAATCAAAACTAGGCTTTTAAAACAGCCTCGAGAGGAAATAGGAAAGTTCCCAGGGCCTTTAGGCTAGGAAATGCCCTGCACACTGCCAGACACTCCCCTCTGCACCTGCTCTGCGTCTGCAAGGTGGGCCTCGCTTCCCAGATCTGACCAGGCAGGTAAATGGCGGCTGAACCCCCACGAGTACCGTCTGCAGCCCGTCTCTGAGCGTTGCACCGGGACCCGGCTCACCGGGGAATCAGGGGCCTGAGCCTTACGTCTGGGACACACTGAGCCAGCATGCTCCCTGTGGGGGGTTGGGGTACATGCCCCTAAGTAGCCATTCTGTAAACATTCAGTTCAAAAGGAACTATTGTTTGTAACCATTTACCACGGAGAGTTTCACGTCTCCTTTAATCATTTTTGATTTTCACCATGAGAAGCTCCTGGGCCAATTAGAAAGTTATTTCAGAAACGCTGCCTTTGAACAACACTTAAGACTCAATTAGCTGCATAGGTTTGAGGGGCCCGAGTCCACAGCTGCCTCCGGCTCGCGTGCGGGAACAGCCAGGTTAGGTCTTGCAGATGTTAAAGTGCAGTTAATTTCCAGTCTTTATATTGTTCTATATTTCATTCCTTTTCTTCCATGAAACTTCCTGTCCCCGACCCTCAGGTGTGTAGAGTGTTGGAGGGTGTGGCGGACGTGTGCGCTGTGCACCCTGTCCTGAGGCCGCGGAGCCCACCCGGGGCTCCAGCCCCGCTGCAGCGGGTGTGGTCCCGGGCCTTGGGCACTGCTGTCTGCAGGCTCTCGGGGGGTAAACTGATGGAACAATCTGAAAACTGTGCAAAAGAATCCTGCCCAGGGCAGCCAGCTGGTGGAAAGGATGTGGGCACCCATGAGGTGTGATGCTGAAGGGAGGTGTGGGTGCCACAGGAGCCTGGTGTCGGGTTTCTGTAGCCCGTTGAGATTGGAAAGGGGTCCTGTAAGGGAGGGGGAGAGGGAATGAGTGTGGTGTCCTAGTGAATGCACAGTGAGGCCTGAGTGAAAAACTCAGAGACCCATGCGGGAGCCGGTGTGTGGAATCAGGCTGGGGTGGCATTTCAGTTGAGCTCTGAGGAAACTGGAGGAGCCTGCAGGCACATGTAAGTCCCCAGGCCACACGAGAGAGGTACCTCCAGCTCCGGCCAGGGGTCCACATGGCTGAGTGTGAGGATGCGTGTGTGGTCTGAATGCAGTAGATGTCGGCTGCGCCGAGGACCTGATGTGAATCCGGGAAGCCTGTTTTGCCTGGTGTGGCATGTTTCACTTTGAATAGGGGAGTGTTGCAATCAGCTCTTTTGGAAGGTTGCCCTGAAGTCATGCTCAAGGGGAAGGAAAAGGGCCTGAGCTGCAGCCCATGACGGGATGGGAGACACCTTTGACACAGCATTGACAAGGTGTGGGCGCATGGTGCCTGTATTAGGTGGTAATTAGGAGGGAGGAGTCCTGGATGAACCTGGGGTTCCCAGGAGGGGCACCGTGGGGCGTGGAGATGTCCCCGTAGATTCAGAGGGACAGGGAGGGCTG